TAATATTATTCTACAGGTTGTGATGTGAACCTGTGCCCTATTCCGACAATACAATGTCCACTGGGCTTTATACCATCCTTCAGCGTGTCTCCAGATAACTGCTGTCCAGAGTATATTTGCTGTATGTATATGGACCAGTTGTTCTCAGTAAAGACACTTTATTGTTTTGATGCTTTGCAATGCACAGGTGTGTACTCATTCATTCCTTATTCTTTACAGCACCCATGGAAGTCTGTGTCCATAATACCACAATATATCAGGTAAAATTATATAATGTAATACATGTATATATATATATAACTTACAAGATATCAAAAGTACACTTATTCCTCTCACTATCTTCCGTTCTAGCCTGGCTCAACTATACCAAGTGATGACCCTTGTACACTTTGTCAGTGTGGTTGGAACGTAGATCCTGAAACAAATCTTCTTGCTCCAGAGTGTGTGATAGCTGACTGCAACGATAACTGTCCAGAGGTATAGACATCTGTTTGCATCTGTAATAAAGACTAGCCCATATGGGTAAAAACTTTGCTTCAGAAAAAGCCACATCAAATCCTGTGAATAATGAGCAAAGACAGCTTTAAAAGTAGTCGGTGTACAGTTATGCATCAACTACCAGGCAACGTGATGTATTTCTCCTTCAGGCTCACGAGTACCAACTCATTCCTGGTCAGTGCTGTGGAGAGTGTGTTAGCACCGATTGTGTGGTTATGCAGGACAACATCACAGTTACCGTTTCAGTAAGTTCTGACATGACATTATCAATTGCATTGTTTGATTTCGTAACATCAAATTAATTACATTTTTATTGTTTGCATTAAGTATTAATTGTATACATTCTCCACTAACAGGTTGACCAGACATGGCAACCATCTAATGACAAATGTGTGAAATACAAGTGTGAGAGAGTCAACGGTAACTCTGTGATTGTTGAGATTAAGACCACTTGCCCTGCCTTCAATCCTGAAAATTGTATCCCTGTAAGTGGCTTGAAAGAGACATTATTTTGGACAACTTAATATGTTAAATTTAAGTCAATGGTTAATGCTTTTTCTTTTTCTACAGGGAACAGAGACAATAGATGCAGATGGCTGCTGTCAAACCTGTGAGTCTGGAAAATTAAAAAAAATTATTATTATTAATTTTTTATTTTATTAAAAATTATTCAACAATTGCAAAATATGCTCATGCTTTGTATTTTTGTGAAAATGAAAGGTAATGCCACTCAGATTTGTCCGATGCCACTATCTGAACACCATTTCTTGAAGCAAAATTACTTTTAAAAAAGAAAATATTACTGAAGAGTGCTGGGTAGATTACTTGCAAATTGTAGTCCGTTACTGATTCCAAATTACATTTAAAAAATTGTAGTTGTAACATAACACATTACATTTTTCAGGTAATTTAATCAGATGATTTTTAGATGACTTTTGACGATTTCCTGATTTAAATATGATAATCATGTACATTGATATAAAAAAAAATACAGAAAGAAAGAAAATATATTCCATTTGTTGTTACTAACGCCATGAAGTGCATTAAACATATTACGTCAAAGTTTCCCAAACTGGGGTTTGTGAAGGAACTGCAGGGGGTTTGTGAGTTTAATGAAAAGCTAATAATAAATGATTGTATTTCTAAAATTACAATCAAAAAGAAAAGGAAATAAATATTAAACCTGTTTACCTGCATGTCATGCATGTGACTATGTGAATAGCATGTACTCATGTAATCAATAAAAAAGTAACTGTAGTCTGATTATGAACATTTTAAAATGTAATATAATCTAATTACAAGTACTTAATTTCTGGAACCTGATTATGTAATCCAGGTTACATGTAATCAGTTACTACCCAGCACTGCTACTGAACTTGACAAAAAAAAAAAAAATATATATATAGGCTATATGTGACCCTGGAGCACAAAAGCAGTGTTAAGTCGCTGGGGTATATTTGTAGCAATAACCAACAATACATTGTACGGGTCAAAATTATTGATGTTTATTTTATGCCAAAAAATCATTAGGATATTAAGTAAAGATCATGTTCCATGAAGACATTTAGTAAATTTCCTACTGTAAATATATCAAAACTTAGTTTTTGATTAGTAATATGCATTGCTAACAACTTCATTTGGACAACTTTAAAAGCGATTTTCTCAATATTTAGATTTTTTTTGCACCCTCAGATTCCAGATTTTCAAATAGTTGTATCTCGACCAAATATTGTCTCGATCCTAACAAACCATACATCAATGGAAAGCTTATTTATTCAGCTTTCATTTGATGTGTAAATCTCAATTTCGGAAAATTGACCCTTATGACTGGTTTTGTGGTCCAGGGTCACATATTTCAGTTCTTACAAGGTGTAGAAGTACATTTTCCTAACATCTACCTAATGTGTTTTTCATTTCACTTAGGTACACTAGACAACAAATGTACTGTCCAGAAGAACAGCACCTTCTTGGTCAGCAATGGCTGTATAAGCAGCGCACCTGTGGAAATAACCTCTTGCTCAGGCTTGTGTGAGACCTCATCAATGTGAGTACCAAAATCACAATTTAGAGACCTTCATTTCTAAATATATGTAGCCACAAATTGTACAGACTGTGCTGGTACCTAACAACCAAACCGTCTCTACATTGTGTTGAAACAGATACTCTGCAGAAGCGAACGCTCTAGTGCACTCATGCTCGTGCTGTCAAGAAATGACAACCACCAAGAAGGAAGCGACCCTGACTTGCCCTGATGGGTCAAACATCAGCCACTCATACATTTACATTGGGTCTTGTGGCTGCAAGGCCTCCGATTGCTCTGGTCAGTCGACTTCCTTAAGGAGACGCCGAAGGAGATTGTGAACCTGTGTTTTTAACCCTGTACAGTATAGCGATTTCAAATGAATCTTGTGGAATGAATCTGTAAATTTGAATCGTTTGAAAAGTTTGTGACCGTTATCTCTATGGTGTCACGATAATGACAGATCTTTTGT